GAAAAAACTTCCTCCTTAAGTTGTTTCCTCCTTAAGTTGGTTCCAAGAAATGAAGTTGTCAAAGAAAAAGAAATGAAGTTGTTTCCTCCTTGACTTAGCCCCCAAAGAAAAGGACATGAAGCTGTCTCCCCCCTTGAGGTTCCCCCCCCCAAACCGCCTACGACGCCCAGCTTGGGCTCCTTTCGCCCCGCGCCACGCGCCTGGCGGAAGAAGGTGATGGGCTTCTGCTGCACGGCGTGAGGGTTGCCGATGTTGCAGAAGACCTGCCAGAGCCACCAGAACCACATGAGCATAGGCGGCCTTTGGGAAACATCGATGGGTTTCCTGAAAAATGGAACAAAACCCATCCAAACCCGTGCCATCGATTTTTAACCAGGCTCACCTAAAAATCTATGCACATGAGTATGTGTGGTGAAAAATGGGAATCACCCACATGAGGGTTCCAAGTGGGGATGATCTTTCAACCACTTGGGATTCACATTGGATAAGGAGAACCACTGAACAGATACGATATGTCAACCACATGGAGAAAAGTTAAATCCAGGGTCAAAACTGCGGGGGGGGGGGGCCTACATGGAATTGCTTGATCAACCTTCAAATGGATCGGGAATCACTTGGCGTTACGCGTGGAAACCCCCAAAAGTCCCAATTTCCGGGCCACAGCACCGGACACCGGACCCCTGCAACATAACGCTCCCCCTTCCGGATAAGCCAAAAAAAGCAAATTCGGGGGAAGAAGCCCATAAGGCTTAACTGTCATATGTCTTCTTGGGGGTTGGTGACTCTTTCGGTTCAACCAAGGTTTCTTGGAGGGCTGGGTCATGTTTCCGAAATCCAAGTGGCGGGTTGGATGCAAATGTCCCAAAAGCAAAAACAAGGTCGGAACCGTTTTTTCCCACGAGCACCTGGATGGGGTACCAAAATCTGAAGACGTAGTCTTGAATTGAAATTCACCAACCGAAAATGGATTTCTGTGAGAAGAAGTTTCAGTTGAAGAGAAATGCATCGATGCCAGGGGGATCTCTGTGTCCCTCAAACGGCAGTCTTCAAGGGGCACGCTTACTTGACGCAAGAGACAAACAAACGCATCGTATCTGGTGCAATGGGGCGTGTTGCCGCTTTTTCACCAGAAGGTCAGGGTTCAGCTTCCATGTTAGAGGACAGGAATCCGCAGACTGCCTTCCACTCCGCAAAAAGAGACTCCACTTTCGTTTGATTTCTGACCCTCCAAATCCCCTGAAGAATAGAAGGCTGACAATTCCGTTCTTACTTGGACAACGTGCGCTCCCTATACCCGCCGAAAAGGCTCCCCAGCGGATGGAAAGGCGACCCAACAGATGTTTCGCCGTCACAAACTGCCACCAACGTGGGGGCCGTGATCAAATCTAGGTCGATTCCAATTGAAGGATCAATCCCTCGTCATTCCCGGATACCCCAAACGAAGAACATGAAGAGGTCTTCTGCCACCCGTGAAAGCTCAGGATGGTGACCCATGGATCTCGACCCAGGCGACGCAGCATGTCGCCTGCCAAAAATTCCCCAGGCGTTCAACAGTCTGACATCCTCAACGGCAAACCACCTCTGGTTCGAATCCATGTTTTTCACCCGCACCACTCCGAACCAGGGCTGCTGGAAATGACCACTTCTGCGATAGAGACTATATGCGCTTCCAAACAACTAACCCACCCCCCCCCCCCCCACATATAAAGGGGGACATCACAGAAGTGTTTGCCTACACCAACCCTGCGAACCCCCCCCCCCCCGCAACCCCCACAACCCCCGCACCCCCCCCAACCCCCCCGACTCTCCGAACCAAGGCCCCAAGAACCCTCCGCTCCTCCCCTCCTCCCCTCCGCTCGGAACCAAACGACAAAAACGCGCACCGATCCGAAAGCGCCGCGCCATCCGCTCGAAGGGCAGCGTCTCCTTGCCCTCCTTCAGCTTGGCGCTGAGCTGCGCCGCCCGCGCGGGCACGGCGCCCCGCACCGCGTACTTGGCCAGGCGGATCTTCTTGTCCATGTCCGTCAACGTGAACCTCCGCGCAGGCTCGACCGCTCAGCTCCCCCTTTGCCTTTTAAGGGCGTCCTCATGGGGAGGGTTTGGAAACCCATGGCTCCCGCCACTCGTTGTTGCTTTGGTGGGACTCCTCTGGAGAGTGGACCCGTTCTTTTTGAAACCCATGAAATGCAAAATTGTCCTGTGTTTCAAACAACCCACACCCCCCATGAGGGGCCCTGCTGGGCTCCTCAGGAATCGAATGGACACACCGAAATGTTGAAGGTTGAATATCGTGATGAGGAGTCGGACACCCGAGTGGAAGGAATCAAACACCCCCCCCATATTGTGCTTTTTTAAGGTTAGACCACTCCCCCCCCAGGCTCCAAAAAGCAAAAGGCGCCTGTGTTCACCTGCTTGGCGCCAAGGGGTTCTCCAAAAAAAGACACTCTCTGGGAAAAAGGCACGGTGCCAATTCGTTTCGGACCTGAAAAGGGTCCGAAATCGGATGGGAACAACACGTGATTGGCCTGTGCGAGCTACCTGATGCTGAACGGGACGCTGGGCGCTCCAGTCACCGCCCAAAGAGGTGCATTGATATTTTAAAGTTGCCTTTTCCGTTGCTGAGCCTGGAAGCGGAACGGCCAAAGCCTTAGTCACCCAAAGTGGGTAGGTTGAAGTCACCCAAGCGAAACCTGGGAACGGAAATGGGTGGCTGAAGTCATTCAGTCAGCGAACCAAAGTGGTAGGTTGAAATCATCCCCCTCCAGCGTCGTCCCCCAAAGTGGTTTGAAGACACCCCTGCCACCAACAGTAGGTGACCCTCAAGGAGGGGGGGGGGATCCAACATGAGATTGGTTACTTCACAACATGTCCTTCTGGCTCCCCTTTAAAGTCACTAGCCCTTTCAAAGTCACCCCCAAAGCGAGAGGTTGATGAGCCCTGGCTTCATCCAGCAGCCAACTTGCGGCGTCTTAGTGTTGCTCAATGTTCACTTCAGATTGATCCGGAAAACTGTGGAATCTGTGAATCCCTCTACAAATCACCACGGAACCGCCCCTCTACAAATCACCACCGAACCGCTGATGAATCCGTAGGAGTCCCTAGAGGGTGCACCCCTAGCAAATTCCGTAGTCAATAAAGGGTACTCCAAAACAAGGTGCGATCCCGAAAAGAGATTTCCTCCGCAAAAAACGGTTCCTCTTGGAATCGAATCACACTCACGGTGTTTGTGTTGCACTGAATGTGATTCACAGACATGTGCTAGTTACACGTGATATTTCAAGTTACAATGAACTAAACTCATCACAAACAATGACGAGTGCTATGGGATACGTGTGCGTGTGATTGTTTAGTCAGGCCTGGCGTCCAGCCGCATCAACCTGTGCAAATGACACGATCAAGCATAGAGGCGACTTGGCCCAACGCAGCGTACACCTAAAGGAATATCCCCAGATTCTGCTTCATCTTTAGTCTATTGAAACTTTCGTTGGCTTGCAGGCCTCAAGAAGCGCTGCTGCTTCCAAAGGAACACGCCACATGCGGTCGTTTGCCCGGAAAATGTTGCTTCAACTCTGCACCGGCTGGAGTCAGGGGAAATGCTGCCTGTTGGCCAATGTTGTTCTCATGGTGCTAGAGCACACACCTTTAAACATGTAGATATATGTATGTACTGTATATATACATAATATACATACTATGTAGCTCGAAGGCTACCACATGCATGTGTACACACTCGTGCGTGTATGCATATGTGTACAGATATACACATGTGCCGAACTCGAGAATTCAAATCGATCGGAAGGCCAACCAGGATCAGCCCGCGGCGCTTGTGGGGCATGAGGCTGCTGTTGGCCCTGATGAGGTGCCAGTCCGCATGGAAATCCGCCGTCTGCGCCATGGCTGCCGGTTCTGGCTTCTTACTACGTGGCACGTGGGTTTCGTCGAAGGCCCAAACATCCGCGGCTTCGCGAGTCAAAAAAATGGCGCAACTCCTGGGCTCCGGGGCTCTCGTCACTTGGCAGAGATGGGAGCGATCGGATCTCTTGGCATGCGTCAAATCCATGTTTGCATTTGGCACAAGTTTGTATCGCTAAGGCTCGAGCCCATGCCGGCAAAGATGTGAGAACTGGAGATCCAGAAATGTCACATTGCCAAACGGGCAAAGGAATACAGGTTTGAACTGGATGCCGACTACTTTGATTTGTTCTCGGGGAAGTTTCAACAAAATGTGATTTATGTTTTAGTTCAAGCTGATATCAATTCGTACATCAACATGTCATGACATGTCAACAGGTCAAAAGCTTGTCGGCGTCTGGGTGTGATGCTGTCTACGAGGATGCTCATGTAGAAAGCAGCTTGGTTGAGGTAGCGGGATTCACCCGACTGATGTTTCAAACATGATCCTGAAACAAACGATTGAAGTCTTCGGGCCCCGTTTCACAAAATCTAAGACGGTAATCTAGACACTCAAACCTGCAAATCAACCTGGAGCCCGAAAGAGGTCCCCAGACATTCGTGGCAAAGAGCGCTTCATCATTCCGGTCACCGTGTGCCCTGAAGCCATAGTTCATCCGACGCGAATCTGCCTGGCGTCCACATGGAACCTGCCTGAGTCACAAGCCTTGTGGGGGGTCCAGTGTAACGCGGACACGAGTTTGAGGCCCTTTCAAGGCAATCTAGGATCCCTTCACACAGAGAGCCCGGCCACTCAAGAACCGAAGTGTGGGTCACGTGGAAGCACACTTCGTATCACCTAATCTCAGCTTCAATGTGGAATCCGAAACCAAGAACCTTGGATGACTCAGTTGCGGCGGAATCCTCACAGGAAGAACCATTGAAAAATAAAAGCCATGGGTCTTTTTGTTGAAAGGGTACCCGGCTTTGAAATAAAAAAAGAAAACAAGACGCCGCCGCCATATTTTTACACCCCCTTCTTCCTCCCTTTCGGTGAGATCAGCCGAGGTTCGTCGCTCACCCCCCCTGAGGCCCCTGGGGCCCCTGGCTCTTGCAGGCCCTCTGGGTCCAGGCAGGGGTCCTCAGTGCCAGGAAGAACCCAGGACGAACCATGCTTGTCACAATCGAATTGGCCGAAACTTCGGGTGGCTCTTGGCTTCTCGCTGTCCCCCAGGTTCAAGAGCACACACATCCAAAAATTTAGCAGTATTAGCCACAGATCTCACACCAGCCGCCCGCATGTCAGAATCCCTTTGGGCAGTCAGGCACTTTTTGCAAATGAAACAAGTTTCTGTTTTGCGCGTCATGTAAGTCTCTGATGGTTCACTTGAGGAATAAATTGAATAAACACCTCCAAGTTGGGAATGGAACGTCCTTGAGCAGCTGAGCAGGTATTATTGATACTCTCCTCTTTCCAAAGAGAATTCTTGGACATGAGCCCTCACGCGGCCGGCACATCATTTTCTTTCAACTCCCTTGCGAGAAAGTTGTCAATTGCTATGTAAAACTTCTCCTTGCCGCAGCTCCGATGGCTGCGGCCACCTCGGAAAGCCTAGACACCTGATGCATGCGCTTTGGCATTCGCATCGGTGTTCGTTTCCTGCGAAGCGCTCGCTCCGTGGTGCCAAGCAAACACCTTCAACACTGTCACCTGAATTTCAGATCTTGTGTGTACTGGATCTTGCTGCGTGAAGTACACCAATATGCCCTGTATGTGTCCATGTTAACACAACATGAACTCCAGTCATGCGTATGTAATATATATATATATATGTGTGTGATACGCATATCTATATACATGTTATATATAGAAACACATGTATCTTAGACCTTCATATGTACATAGCTCTCGCAAACAACTCCCCCGCATTTTGCTGGGGAGGTCGCTTTTTGAAAAACCGCTTCGCGCTAGGTCAGAGGCGCCACGCACTTCTCCAAGTCCTTGGAGAGGTCGCAGGTGGAGCAGTTCACCGAAGCGGAGCACCTGAAAAACTTGGGCAAGACACTCCCCTGGCCCATTAAATGGGCGCACTCATAGAAACCAGCTGCAGGAGATTCTACAGGAAACTAGCCAAATTCCCAACATCAGGGGGTTTCCTGTAGAACTTCCTGTAGTTGGTTTCTTAGAAGGACTTATCCGCCTCAATTGGCTGTGGCTCAATGACACGTATACAAATGGCACCTTGGTATATGGAAGACTGAAACCTGCGTAACCCGAGCTATTAGTTTTGAGCCACACCCAATTCTTTAAGGACCGTTCTGGACCGTTTCTTTCTTTTTACCGGGTTTTGACTATGACTCGGGCCGCCTCCGGACTCTGGTGGGATGCCGCCCTTGAAAAAGGGGATACCGCAAATGGGCTGTTGACAGCTGGGGATAAACATGCGTTTTGGTTGCCTTCCTTGTTCGTAAAACCAAGGGTAAGGGGGTGTCAAAGAAAAGCACGGCTTTCCGGGAAAAACAAGGACCCCGCTGGGTAAACCAAAAACATCATCGACCGACGACAAGGGCAAACCGCATGAGCATCCCTCTTGAAGCAAGACGGGCCCTTTTTCAATAAATGTTTTAAACAAAATGAAAGAACGCGGACCAAAAGGAGAAGAGCCCCAGTCTTACTGTGGATGGATTTGATTCCCCTGCAAATACAAACAAACAATGGTTTCCCATCGTTTCAAAGTGGTGCAGGATTGCGTGCATCCACAGTAAAAACACCACCTACAAAAAATCCTGCCTATTGCACCACGAGTCAATCAAGGATCCCCGACATCGGCTACGCCTTTGGTGAGTGAAGGATTGTTGCTGGCCGTACCGACTTATCTATTTTTTAAGAAGATCCAGGCCATGTGACCCAAAAACATGCTCGGAGACACGAGCTATTGGCTGTGTTAAAAAGCAACGGGACCCGGTGGGGGCGCTGAAAAGGGAAACATGAGGTGCCAACTCTTCAAACGGTATTGTTCACAAGCTAGTGCAGAGGCCTATGAGATAGCGCCAAACCGTAGGCTGACGACCTAGACTGTTTACGTGCCCATGTCTTAGTCCTACAGCTCCGGGCAAACAAAACACCCTACTCATCTGTGTTTTGACATTTAAAAAAACTGTTCGGCGATGTGAAAAGATAAGCCAAAGGCACGCAAACCAACCGTGCGATTCCAAGGCCGACCTCATGAGACCCAAAGCTGAGTCGCTCTGGGACAAGTCCACCCTGCACAGTGCCCACGCTTCGGAAGCCCGGAAGCATGGAACGAGACGTGTAGTGCAAGAAGGTGCCTGTGCAGTTCAGCCCACGCTTCCAGGAGTAAGCCCACATGAAAACCCTTGGGCATTCATCCGAATTCCATGGGGTCGGAAGCATCGCAAACCAACTCTGGGGCCAAGCCCAAGCTCTGCAAATCCGCCCCACCCCCCCCCCCGCTCCCCCCCCAATGTCCACCTTGCAATTCACAGGTCCCCCAAAACCCACCCAGCTGACCATTCGGTGACGCGAATCATCGCCCCAAATCCCCTGTCGAAGCGCGCGTCGCCGTTGACCTGCAGCATCCCGGCGGGGGGAAACAGCACCGCGCCGCTCTCGCAGACCGCTGAGTTGCCTTGGCCCACCTCGGGTCGCGAGATCGCGATCTGGAGAAGATCCGTTTGGATGTTGGCCCGCAAAAGGCGGTGTGAAAAAGAGGGTGATACAAGACATAAAGGTCGAACCAACAAGATTTGGGCGTGCGGGGGACCAAAAAACCCTGTTTGCGTCATGATTATAGGACACAACGATGCGTACTTCTCTGAGCCAAAGCGGTGAAACCAAAACACAAAACCGGGGGGCCTTCATGGGCGCGCTCGATTTGTTTGCCGGATCGGTGAGTTGTAACTCGTCCGGAGCTGATTGAACCACTGACTCCTTTTCGTGTGTGCGCCCGGGTCCCCATATCAAAGCCTGACTTTTTACCACCCCTCGCTGCCAGACACATCCTTTGATCCTTTGAGGGCAAACGCGCCCATTTTGGGGCGGGCAGAGATCCTAAGCGGCGACTGATTCGAACCTGGTTGGCTCCTGCGGCTCGCTTTAAGCAAAGACTCGCGCCGGACACTCGGGGCATGGACCAGTGAAATGGTCGAGGCCCCGAAAACGGGGAGAGAAGCGGCAAAGCCACAGATACGTTTACCGCCATTCGAAACAAGGCACAGCTACAATTCCCCGCTCGCCTCTACCGAAGAGATGCATTTTTGGGGGATTCCACCTGGTCTTCTCCCTCCGTAACCAAAAAGGCAAACCAAAGGGGGCCTGCCGTCCCGGAAAAGACGAAACTGAAAACAAACCTCGACCAGCCAAGAACCATGTTTGACGCCTTCTTTGAGAACTTGAAGATAAACCATCGGTTTGAGAGCTAGACACCAAAAAAGCACCTACTAGAAATGAACAGAGCCGCAAAACCTAAAAAAACTTAAAACAACCTCTATCGCCTTCTTTTCTTTCCGCCCACAATTCAAAGCTTGCCGGCGACCCCAAGAACGCCCCAGAACGAATCCGCCCCGCCCGCCGCTTCCCGCCGGCTTTCCGGCTTGGCCGACCCGCAGAGGCGCCACGAAGGCGGTGCCGGGCTTGGCCCAGCAGGTCTCCAGGAACGAGGCGTTGTTCCACTCGGGGCACACCCCGGAGGCCGCCATCAGCCCCGACAGCGAGAAGTCCCCTGCCGATCGAGCGATCCGAGCGCTCCCGAGCCGCGGCTGGGTTTCGGAGAGCGGGGCCTCCGGGAAAACAGAGGGGGGGGGGGGTTGGGAGGTCCTTTCTATATCCTATCCTCATCTCCCAACTGTTACATCCTGTAAATTGGATCAATTATAAACGATTAGACATAAGATGAGGACCAGCCCATCAATCACTTCTATATCTTGTCCAAATGCTTTCTTTCCTGGCATTTGGGTTGAGGGGTTGAGGAGTTGAGGAGTTGAGGTTGTGGGCATGAATGTTAGGCTCTGTGGACATCATTTGCAGGGGCAACTACTTCCGAAGCCCGTTGCCAACGCAACCCAGAAGAACATCCATTTGATTTGCCCTTTGGGCCCAAAAGAGGGTCCAAAACCCACTAGCAACTGAAGCGCTAGAACCGCGATGGGGGGGAGTTCTTTTGTTTCCAACTCCGACCAAAACGGGGCTCGCCACACCAAAGAGAAACTCGCATGCTTGGGGAAAACAAGGATGCCTGTTGGTTGATTAGAGGCCCCGTCTGGGGCCCAGGAAAGAGCGTTTTTTGATTGGAGACGAACATAGCCGGGAACGTGCCTCAGTCGGCGAGTCTACTTGCAAACCTTTTGCAGCCACCCTGTCCTGTTCGGTGTCTGATAGTGCGCAAGGAGGGCTTCCACGTGCAATATTCATGGAATCCACAACAATGATAAAGACTGTCGAAGGTTGACTCTTGCTGCAAACAGAACCTTCTTCGGGTTCCCTGCGTTACACTCCGACCATCCTGGTCTGGCATACATGGCTTGTCACAATCATCTGGCAACTTATGATCATTCCCTAGGGTGCTTCATGGGTCTTTCCATAGAATCGAATCATTCCAACGGTGGCCCCATGGATGTCGCGACCATCCACCGACTCTGGCGAGTCAAGTCCCCTCTTTGGACTCGCCCCCACCCACCCCGCCGCTCTGCTCAGGCCCGGGCCGTTGGGAAAGATTTGCCCGGGCTTGGGGGTGGTCCACCAGAAGCCGCATCGCTTCGCGGCGCCTGCCAAAGCTGAAAGTGAACGGCTGAAAGATCGGAGTCCCTTTCTACGGGCTAGGGGGTCAAACCAAAATGGGATGGGGAGATGTGCCTACGTTCGCCCAATACTTCCAGCCAAGAGGATCAGCCAGTCATCTGGAGGAAGATTCGTTCGGCTCGATTCTCTCGGCAGTCACAAAACACGCTGGGTCAGGCGTCAAGCCTGGAGGAGATGTTTCCTAGCTTGCTTGGAAAACCAAAAGCAAACCGACCTGGATGAGGTCCTGTCTTTCCCTGGCTTGGCCAACTCCCTTGCGTTGATTTTTTTTCAAAATTGAACTGACTTGCTTACTTTTGCTCGCCTTTACATACCAAACTGGGCTGCCCTCAGATTTTCGTGCAAACTAGCACTAAACCCTAAAAACCTAAAACCTCAGGGCGTGGCTGGGAACCATCAAAAGAGGCTCTGTTTTGAGAAGCTTCGCGCGTCCGTCCTCCCCAAACCCGATGCAGCGCTGTGAACTCGCTCACCCGCGCGATGACGTAGTCCACAATGCCGCCCTTACCTGGTGGGGCACGTGGCCCAAGTGCTCCTAAACCATACTGTGGATGGGCGAAATCCATTTCGCACCACCTGAGAAACCCCGGAATCATGATTCCCCAACGTAAATGCCAACAAACGTTTTGGTTTCAACCACAATTTCAAAGTGGTACAGGATTTCGTCCATCCACAGTAGGCATCCTTGGGAATCGATGGATCTACCTGGTAGACTTATGAAACAACCAGGTCAACCAGGAATTGCCATCTACTACTTACCAAAACCGCCGAAAGGACACCTATGTGACAAACAGGACAGCTATGACTCCCCTTGGCTCTGAATCTGTGGCTTGAAGCCATGGGATCCTTACACCTATCTCGCCGGGTGACCCGGGGTCGCTTGGAACGCATACTTCGCGGCGCTTTGGTTCAGCGCTGCAAACTCGGGATCCGCAGGCGTGAGGACCTCCAGGGTTTGGCTTCACAACTCCAACACCAAAAACCAGCAGATCTAACCTGCGAAACCCAACCACTAAACCCCCGCAAAAAAAAAAAAAAAAAAAAAAAACAGAAGCCGAAGGAACCGCAATCGCCAAGTAACAAGTTCCCCCTTGCAGCCTGGAGTACGACACATTCGAGGAACTGTTCGAGACACCCGAAACACTACCCTCTGTTCAAGAATCCAAGTGCACTTAAGAACTTTCGAAGCCCAACATCTTCGGAACAGAGTCGCGGGAGGATTGCGGGTCGGCCCCAGTCACCATAACCCGACATCCCCAAGACTCGCCGGGTGGTTGCAGCGCAAGCAGGCTTGCTTTCAGCGGCGAGGCAAAGGAATCCAGAATTGGGGCCGCAACTCCCACTCAAACTTGCTGACATGCGTCAACTCAGGCTTCTGCTTAAGAAGTGAGCGGGACTCAGCGACCCAGGGCCGGCAAATCTATGACCCCCGGGAAACACTACATTTCAGCGACACGGGCCTTCAAGGCGGCGAAATGGGCAGAACGAGCCCCGCCGTAGGTTGTCTGAAAGGGAATGCAACCAACGGGCCTGGAAAAAGGCCTCTAATCTGTTTGGCCTGACAAAATCAATGCCAAAAAGGGAACTCTTAAAGGTCGAAAGGTCAACGTGTGTTGAACACATACCTGGAATAACTTCCGTGATCCAGAATCAGTGATCCCGGTTCTCCTATTGGAATTTACCTCTCGGAATGGTCTGAACAGAAACCTTCATCATGGGCCGCAAATTCCCCGGAATGTCTCGCGAATTTGCCCCGCAATGTCACAAACTATATACAGTCTACTAATTCTGTCTGCGCAAATGTACATCCCATGCACTTTGAGCCGGAAAAGTTTCGTCGTATTGACATCTCTGTTCATTTTGGGTGGGGCCCCCCATGTCTTTGGGACCCTCATATTTCCTTCTCGCCTTGCAGCTTCCCCGCCTCCGCCCTCACACTCAGCGGAAACCTCGGATACGATTTCTGGGAGCAGCGAACGGGTCGTTCTGTGTCTGGTGTGCGAAAATCAACATGATCATAACTTACATAACCTATATGACCGACATGATCAGCATGCTTTTTCCATGATCGACGGATCAACATGATCCAAATGATTCACATGACAAACATGACTGCACAAACAGACACACTGGGGCAACCATGACTCGACGTGACTGGATTGTGTGTGGTTAGGAGCCATGCTTTACGGAAGATCCTGGCTTGGGGGTGACCACCACCTCAACTCGGTGCTAGTGGCATGGACCACCGAACTCTGCCAAGAGTCTGCCAGCTCAACTCGCTGCGACGAGTTGAGGGGAAGCACCGAGTCCGGGTCTTGGGGAATGAAGCGGTTCTTGGAGTCCCTAGGAAGCCACAGGGGAGGGTTTTTTTTTGGTGTTTATAGGGGACCATTTCTCCTGCCTTTCGAACCAGGTCGCGGCATCCAGAGCCTTCCACAGGGTCCCGAGACCACTAGGTGCTCCAGATTTGAGAGCTTAGAGTAAGGGTACCGTTCCTTTTTTCGGTTTAGTCTATTTTAGTAGGGGAACCCAAAACCCAAAAAAAGAAACGGTGAGAAGGGCACCTGCTGGGGGACCTAGACAAGAACCTTGAAGCGAGTGTGTCAATCCAAGCAACCAGGCTGAGCCAAAGAAGCTGACAAACGAAGCGGGGATACGGAGGGAGCGGAGATATGGCTGGATTCCCTTGGCGCCATTTCCCATCTCAAACTTGGTCAAGGTGCATTTTTCGGGGGAATCCTCTCCCTATCCCTGCTAGTTGGTTTCCCTGAAAGAATCCATTTTTCAACCACCCGAGAAAAGGACACCAGATCCAGATCCGCCGATCGATCCGCCGTCCTGTCGAGGCGCTGGTACACGTTTGTCATCGGCTGCACACGCTTCACCGGCTCCACCGGTGCCCTTCGCGCGACACTGGCCTGCATCAGGCTGCAGGCCTCGTCCGGCTCGAGTGGCACGGCCTGCAACATGGCCAGACGCCAGGACAAGAACTAGGCCCTCCAGGAGAGAGCTTAGAGTAAGGACACCATTTTTTTCTGTAGTGTATTTTAGTAGGGGAACCCTCCCCCAAAAAAGGGGAGAGAAGGGCACTACTCAAAAACCTAGATAAACAAACAACCAACCCTCGGCCGGAGCAAGACTCGGTTGCCCAATGAATTCTAAGGGAACCTTTCTGGCAGGCGTTCAGCACGTCAGGAGCGCGCATGACACGGCATGCTGAGTGAGGGGAGGGAATCCTTTTTGGGGATGACCATCGTAAAAAGCGGAAGCGAGAAAAACGAGAGATGTACTTATTCCCGTGAATACAGCAAAGCCACTGAAGCCGCCCTTGGACTGCCATTCCGCCCACTTTGGCAAACAAGGAGAGGACGAAGAGCAGCAAAGACAAAAAGGGCACGACAGTGATGCGGATGCTACTCTAGACAGGGCTGAAGAAGAGCTTCCACAGCAGTCTGCGGAGATCATGTTGGCAGTGATGGCGAAAGATAAAGAGGAGATGCTGGTCAAACAGAGAGAAGCAACATCAAATCTGCCGGGAAGGAGATTGGAGCAACCTCTTGTTAGATGGTTGAGACCGGAAGAGCGTGAACTTGGCATTGACATAAGCTGGGCAAAAGCTCTTGTGTGGCTTATGCTGGTAGTCTAAACCCCAATACAAGAATCCTATAGCGACCCCAAGTAAGCTGTTTCGACCATGAATCGCCACAACACCAGCCTGCGACCAGCACCCCCCCACCCCCACCCCCACCCCCCACCCCCCACCCCCACCCCCACCCCCCACCCCCCACCCCCCACCCCCACCCCCACCCCCACCCCCACCCCCACCCCCCCCCCCCCCCCCCCACCCCCCCAAAAAAAGGGAGAGCACCTTTGCCACGGGTGAGTGGTCACAACTGCAACCAGGAGATCAAGCTCACGTCTTGCTACAGGGGAAGGGGATCGCCCCGAACAGTGCAACATTTGTCCCGCCAACCTCTTGGAAAGGCTCAGCTGTCAGGGACTCCAAAGACAGCTGGCCTGCGGCATCATTTGGCCTCGATTGTGGCCGCCTCATTTGCCAACTGCAGTGAAAAGCATTGCATGCAGAGATCTGGTGTGGTCACCTTCTGGTCTGCTCAAGAGGTCTGGAAATTCCAGCCTGACTTGCACGGCTTGACCCAAGTGGCAGAGAGAAGGTCAAGATCCGAAAAAGGGCAAACTCCGACAAGTTCCGCTGCTTTGCTTGTTGAATCTTAACATGTTTCGGGGGTGCTTCAGGGTGTTTGACTCGGCGCCAGTTGTCCAAAGAAAATGGGTGTGTCTCAAAATACCTCCAAGAACTGGCCAGTGTCCTTTTGGCGTCCTTTTAACCACCATCTAAAGGCGGCTCCCCATTTTGAGACCGACCCAAGTGCCCAACCCTTCTCACCCAACTCATCCCTGGCCTTTGCCAGCACCAGCAACGCCAAGGCAGTGGGCATGGCGCTGACAAAGGCTGGGGCTGGGGTCGTTGGCCTCTGATTGCAATTCATCCAAACTGTCTCAGGGGTTCGGTCGCGGGGCAAAATGGCTGCCACGGGATTTCTCGCGTGCGCCGATCAACGTGGCTCCTTTGGCGAACGTACCAGATCCCGCAGCAAAAAGATATGCCACCCTAAGGACTTTCCTGACTCGTAGGAGATTCAGTGACTTCTCATGACGTCTCTCCCAAAAGTACCATGGACCGAGTAGATGGAACGAACCCCATGTGAAAAAAAGAGGACTCTTCCAAAAGGTGCCAAAAATGAGGCACCAAGGGCAATCGCTGATCCTTCCCGATGACATACACACTTCATGGTACCGAGCCGCAGCAACCAGGAATACGGTTTGTGTTTTTGAGGGTACCCTCTTGATTTCAAAGGGAACCCATTCGGAAAACCGAAACTCGTTTGGGTCGAAATCCCCAAACCCTTCAGGAAAACACATCCAGTCCACAATGTCTTCATTGCGCGAGCCATCAGAGCTCCCCAGCGCGCCAGCTGCCCACAAAAATCCCATTCTCGAAGCGCTTATGCTCGATGACGGCCTGTGAGCTGCGCTGGGATCAAGGGGGTATCCCTCTCTGTGATACCAGGGACTCTCGCCCTTTTTGTTTGGGGGGGGGGGGGGGGTTAGTCTTTGGGAAGCCCTTTTTTGTTGTATCCAAGCGGTCAGTTCCCAGCTCGGGGGTCTCTGTCGGTTAGATCGTTTGGTTTTGCTGAACGGATGCGGCATCCGGTCCTGTGGGCGCCCAAAAGGAGCATGGGATCCACGCAAAGTCCCTTGGCACTCCCAGAGTTGCATCTTGAGGCGCGCGATTTTGGAAACAAAAGGAGGACCCCTTCCAGCAGGGGTACGCTTCCATCACTAGCTTTTCACTTGGAAGTCAACGACCAGTTGCTAACAGTAGTAACACGACCTCCAGCGAGTGGAGCCCTTGTGGTTCCACGCATGGGTTCCGGTTTTCAGAAACATGTGTCTTGGGAGGGAGGGGGGAATTTCACCGGCCTTTCCTAGCATTTTGCCAGGCCAACAATTATCCAGCCTCCGCATGCACAAGCAGTCAGTTACGCTCCCTCAAAGCTGACGACGCTCTCAAAATGACAGGTGGGGTCCGGCGCTTCCCTTAAACCGCCCAGCCAGATTTTCACTTGAGTAGATGGCTCAACAAAAGGTCACCTCACCAAACTTATGGCTTACCACTAAAATAGTCCAGCCCCCCCCAAAAAAAAAACAAAGAAGCGTAAAGTCCAAAAAACTCAGGAACTGAGTTCCATTTTAAGCCGACGTCGCTTTCCTCTCCTCGGCACCAAAGGTGGCAACGCGCCTCGCGCCGGCGCTTGTGGATCGCCTCGTTGTTCAGCTTGGCGCGCTGGCTGTAGGCGACCTTGGGCGACCGAATTCTAATGGGGTCCCAGTGGCCGAGTGACGGGTGGGTCAAACAACGGAAACAAAGGAGCCCGTGTCTTCACCATTCGGCTATGAGTGATGGTTGGAACCCCAAGTGAGTGGTGGACATAAATCCACCTAAATGATGTGGAAACCAAACAAAAAGTGGGAAACAGGGTGCTGGTTGATTAGTGTCTTCCGAATCCGGACCAAACAGGGAACCCAAACAGCGGCTGTATGAATCAGGTCAATGTCCTGTGAACGGTTGCCAGCGGAGAATGCAGAAAATACGGGTCCAACCAAGAACATGCCTTCCATGACACAGCGTCAATGACAAACCAGAGCTGGACTGAGTGTGAATTGTAATGGGGGGTGACCCTTTGGGGATTCGTGTCCATAGTCGAAAAGAAAAGTTACCTCACCAAGGAATCATTCGCACCATAACTCCTGCACGGGTTACATACCATCGTTCAGTGGGAAATCCAAAGCCACATGCCTCAAAGGGGGTGGGCTTCCAGGGTGGGTTGTTGCTGGGTGCCAAGCCAGGGAATGAACCAAAGAGAAACTCAACAACCACCTACATTGCATTTCAGTATTCGTGAGGCAGACGGCTACCACAGAGGAACCAAACGCCGAAACTCGATCATCGAACCTCCCAGGGACCGTGGTCGGATTGTAACCAACCCCTTCCAAAGCTTTATGATTCTTCACGGGGGTGATTTCACAAGTGCTCGGTGGCAATGTCAGCTGACCCCGCTTGAATTGCTCAGAGCACCACCGGTCAAGCCAGCGCCTACTTTGCGCGGAGCCACACGGCCAACGGCGTCATGTTCGGCAGTTGGGCTCCTTACCACATGCCCTTTGCAGCAAACAAGCGCCATGCAGCGCTGGTTGGCCAGACCGTACCGGCCAAGCTCGCCTATCCCCGGGTGTTGCTCAGAAGTGCGCACCCTCTCTGAAAATGGTTCTTACACGGGAAGCCGACTGGAAACTTCTGAAAGGGAGGGGTGTCGCTAAGGGAACAAACATGGAACCGCCCCTTCCGCCAAAAGCTTTTGCCCCCAACCTACATACGTTGGAGTCTGGCTTGTATTTACCAAGCCTGAATGAAACTATCCGCAAAAAGATCCAAGCATTGGGCCTTTCGGTGACTTTTGGGACACCAAGACTGGATCCACCAAGTGATACGGCCAACCGGGCCCTTGAACCGGGTCTCCGGGTGCCCGGCGTTCCCCCGCACCAGCTCCGGCATCGGCTCGCCGGTGCGGGGCTTGCGCCGGCCCACCTGTGCCGAACGGGTTTGGGGCGAAGCTCATGGTTGATTCACGGGAAGCCGATGTCTTTGATGGAGATTTTGACGGGGTGTTGATGGCTTGGTGTGGTTCCCGTGCTGCCCCGTGCAAAAGGGGGAACTCCTGGCAGTGGGCTGGAACATGCCGAAGGGTAGAGAAATGACTCGGGATGTGTATTGTTCACTTCGTGATGTTTGTTGTGAGTCACTCATCTACGCAAGCACCATCAACATAGCCAGCTGCCAGCTTCGTTTAACACCACCAACATCGGTTTAACCCCCCCCCCCTCCGAGTTTAGGGAAGGTTGGCTTCAGGTTGATTTAGGGTGATTTTGTGATAGGGTGTGTTTGGGGCGGAGTTGGGTAGGCTGAGGGCTTCTGTAGGATGAGTTTAAGGTTGGGTTGAGGACTTGTTTTTGGTTTTAAAGGGTTGGTATAGCGTTGCTTAGGGTTTGTTTAGAGTTGGTTTAGGGTGGGTTTAGGGTTTTCAAAAGGGTTGATTGTAGGGTAGGTTTAAGGTGGGTTTACAGTGGTTTAGTGCTATTTTGGGGTGAGCTCAGGGCAAATGTCGGCTTGAGGTGGATTTAGGGCGGGATTGCTTCGGGTTTCCGGTT